CACCCAGCTGTGTCTGGAGAGAAGCCGGGGTATCAGCTTGTTCCCCACCCCCACCCCTCTCTGTGTACAGTAGTGTCCCCTGTCCTGACTGCAGGAGCTCACCCAGCTGTGTCTGGAGAGAAGCCGGGGTATCAGCTTGTTCCCCACTCCCACCCCTCTCTGTGTACAGCAGTGACTCCTGTCCTGACTGCAGGAGCTCATCCTGCAGTGTCTGGAGAGAAGCTGGGGTATCAGCTTGTTCCCCACCCCCACCCCTCTCTGTGTACAGTAGTGTCTCCTCTTCTGACTGGAGTGTCTCACCCAGCTGTGTCTGGAGAGAAGTCAGGGTATCAGCTTGTTCCCCACCCCCACCCCTCTCTGTGTACAGTAGTGTCTCCTCTTCTGACTGGAGTGTCTCACCCAGCTGTGTCTGGGGAGAAGCCAGGGTATCAGCTTGTTCCCCACCCCACCCCTCTCTGTGTACAGTAGTGTCCAGTCCTGACTGGAGTGTCTCACCCAGCTGTGTCTGGAGAGCAGTCAGGGTATCAGCTTGTTCCCCACCCCACCCCTCTCTGTGTACAGTAGTGTCCCCTGTCCTGACTGCAGGAGCTCATCCAGCAGTGTCTGGAGAGAAGTCAGGGTATCAGCTTGTTCCCCACCCCCACCCCTCTCTGTGTACAGCAGTGTCTCCTGTTCTGACTGGAGTGTCTCACCCAGCTGGGTCCTGAGAGAAGCTGGGGTATCAGCTTGTTCCCCACTCCCACCCCTCTCTGTGTACAGTAGTGTCTCCTGTCCTGACTGGAGTGTCTCACCCAGCTGGGTCTGGAGAGAAGCCAGGATCATGGTTTACACAACATGGCTGGGAGGCTTGTTCCCCCCTCCCACCCCCCTCTGTGTGCAGAACTGCCTCAGTCTGTCTCAAGTGCTCCTCCCTGAGTGTATTTTTCCAGTAGAGAGGTTGTCCTGTGGTCACGACCCCTGCTGGCTCTAAAGAATTCCCGTTAATGTCTCGGCGGTCCTCAAGCCTGTTGGCACAGTTGTTGTTAAGTTGTAGCTCCCTGAGCAGTGCTGTGGTGTTTCTTTCCTGCTGGAATTATAGTGTCCTGGGGGTGTAGTGGGCAGGCCCCCGTACAGCTGTGATCATACACAGACCCCAGCAGCCCGATCCGGGTCGTGGCCCAGCCTGCGTGTGCATCGATCATTGACGCTCAGTGGGTGTGATCAGCACCGCGAGACGCCTTTATTACTGTGTAGCCACGTCCACGACAAACTCAACACTGGCACAAAACTCAACACCGACATGACGAGGCCGACACCGTCTCGTGACACAGCGTCACTGGCTTTTACAAGGCAGTCTGGGACACCAAGTGTATAAAATATAATACTGAAACGTTTAAATAAGAAAAAGTGATACATATAGAAAATTGCATAAGATACCTTGTGTGCGTAAGGGCAAAGCTAGATAGATACCGTGTTGCAATAGTATATATATAATCTGTGTATCTAAACACTCAAGTTAATACTGCTAGATAAACCAATACTGTAATTATATCACAATCTCCTTTTTCCCCGAAATTCCCTCCATTACTCCTTTCACAATGTGTCTCCTGTCCTGCTGTGTGTTTATTACTGAGGGGATTCTCTGTGATCTCCTCTCTGCCTCACTGTGTCTCCTGTCCTGTGTGTTTGTTACTGAGAGATTCTCTGTGATCTCCTCTCCCTCACTGTCTCCTGTCCTGCTGTGTGTTTATTACTGAGGGGATTCTCTGTGATCTCCTCTCCCTCACTGTGTCTCCTGTCCTGCTGTGTTTGATACTGAGGGATTCTCTGTGATCTCCTCTCTGCCTCACTGTGTCTCCTGTCCTGTGTGTTTGTTACTGAGGAATTCTCTGTGATCTTTTCTCTGTGTCTCCTATCCTGTTCTCATGGTTAAACAGCTCTGTGCTCGAATGTCTTGGTACAAAATACTAGAGATCCTTTGGTCTCATGCTTTCTGCTTCAGTTTGTGTTTATAAAAAGAGTCTTAAAATTAATATTTTTTCTCCCTGAAGTGTGTGACACGAGGGCAGTGTGCGTGTGTGCGTGTGTGCGTGTCTCTGTCTCCATCTCTCTATCTGAACAGCTTGATGAAACAGCCCTGACAGTAGGGCTTGTTGTCCTGCTACTTGAAGCTGTGAGAGTGTGAGAGTGTGAGAGTGTGAGAGTGTGAGAGTGTGAGTGTGTGTGAGTGTGTGTCTCTCTATCCGAACAGCTTGATGAAACAGCCCTGACAGTAGGGCTTGTTGTCCTGCTCCTTGAAGCTGAGAGTGTGCGAGTGTGCGAGTGTGCGAGTGTGCGAGTGAGTGTGTGTGTATGTCTCTCTATCCGAACAGCTTGATGAAACAGCCCTGACAGTAGGGCTTGTTGTCCTGCTCCTTGAAGCTGTGAGTGTGTGAGTGTGTCTCTCTATCCGAACAGCTTGATGAAGCAGCCCTGACAGTAGGGCTTGTTGTCCTGCTCCTTGAAGCTGTGAGAGTGAGTGTGTGAGTGTGAGTGTGAGTGTGCGAGTGTCTCTGTCTCTCTATCCGAACAGCTTGACGAAACAGCCCTGACAGTAGGGTTTGTTGTCCTGCTCCTTGAAGCTGTGAGTGTGAGAGTGTGAGAGTGTGAGAGTGTGAGAGTGTGAGAGTGTGAGTGTGTCTCTCTATCCGAACAGCTTGATGAAGCAGCCCTGACAGTAGGGCTTGCTGTCCTGCTCCTTGAAGCTGTGAGTGTGCGAGTGTGCGAGTGT